CCCAGCATCGGACGGCCCTCTTACGCACCCCAGCATCGGACGGCCCTCTTACGCCCCCAGCATCGGACGGCTCTCTTACGTCCCCCAGCATCGGACGGCCCTCTTACGTCCCCCAGCATCGGATGGCCCTCTTACGCCCCCAGCATCGGATGGCCAGTGCTGATAACGGGCAGTGTATGGTCCCTTGTAAGGGCCCTCCCCATGCCAAGAACCGCAGCTGAGGGAAGCTATCTCGGAGTCAAATTCTGAAGCTTAAAGTCAAATATTTTATCACACGAAGTATTTACCTTGATTTGAGGGCCGAGGCTTTCTTGCAGCACTTGGGAGTCCACGAGGGAGCGGGAGTGGGAGTGCTGGGGGACGGTGGAGGGGGGAGGAGACATTCCGACGAGGGAGCGGGAGTGGGAGTGATTAGTAACCTGGTAGGAGGAAGGAGGATGCTGGGGGATGCGGTTGGGGTTTTGGGAGTGCTGGGTGACAATGGTGTTGGGGGGAGTTACTTCGATGAGAGAGCGGGAGTGGGAGTGATGGGGGCTGAAAGTGGGAGTGGGGGACAACCCAACGAGGGAGCGGGAGTGGGAGTGCTGAGGGACTAAAGAGGGTGAAGACGACACCCCAATAAGAGAGCGTACATCACCCACGCAGTATATCACCCACGCAGCACATCACCCACGCTGCACATCACCCACGCAGTATATCACCCACGCAGCACATCACCCACGCAGCACATCACCCACGCAGCACATCACTAACCTTGGTAACACATCAGGCCGACCGTTGCTAGTGGGTGGTGGGTGATGGTGGTGGTGCTGGTGGGGTGGCGGGCTGTGGGTGAGTGCGGCGCAGGCTGGTGGGCTGGGTGGCGGTGGGTGGCCGTTGGTCTGCAGCGGTCTTCCCCCGTTGAGGTCCGGCGGGCCGGTCCCACCGAACGTGGAAAAACTTGATAAACTCCGCGGGTTCCAGTCTGGGCCCTGAGGGGTGAGGTACACGTGAGGCCCTTACCACATGAGGCCCTATAACCTAATCTTCTATGGGCATGAACTTTCAAATTCCTAATTACCTAGTATAAGCAACTTCGAATATTAATGGCATCAGATTATCTGAATTTAAAATTTAAAAATAATTTAAAAGCAAAGAATAAATAAACAACAATACACAACAACTTATAAAAGACGTTTTAGACTCCTGCTCCGTCGTTATATCAAAAATCCTAGAATACTGGAATAATTAACTAGCACAATCGAAATCCGCAGAACAGATGCTAGAATTTACATTGAAATTCATAACAAAAAACAGATAAACCTGTCGATTTAAAACCTTGAGTTTGAAGAACTGTGAGCGGTATTAATTAAATTAAACTTCTGTTTAAAAATACCCAGGGATTCAATAATTAGCCAGTCGAAGATACTGAAAAAGAGAGCTAAAATTTTAAAAATACAGGGACGTTGCACTGCTCGACGTGAGTGCATACAACCAAATGGGAGGGTTGCTCTAATTAATATCTGCGTCTCAAGTTCCTTCCTTTATGCTGAGCTAGTCTAGAATAGAAGTTGCGTTACGTCATAATGGCGTATGCTGACGCACGCTGCGCACAACTGTATTTATAAACTAGAGACGATCGCATATGCACTAGAAGAGTACCCTATAAACTTAAATAAGATCCGACTTTCAAATTATGGAGAAGTCTCACCAACCAACATGAATATTAACATTCGGAAGGTATTTCATTTAAAAAAACTTTAAACTTTTTTACTTAGACGCTGGTGCAGGACCAAAGTATGGAAATGAACCCTAAACAACGTTTCTATTCTCACGCTCAGCAGTAACTTCATTGCATCGCTTCGACATGAGTTAATTGTTGAGGGCCAGGTGTGAAGGAAATAAGTTAGAGTGCATAGCATGGAATGTTGACAAAATAATAAAGCCATTTATTTTAGTTATTAATTGCGAATTATATATGTTCGAATTCTATTCAACCCGTATGGAAAGATCAAAATCTAAAGAAACTGGTGCTTAAACCGGTGAACGATGCATGGTGCTAGAAAAACAGAAGTCAGGAAACGGCCCTTATAGATTTGGTAACATTGCATTCCAATACCAACTAGTTTTATATTCGAGAACTATAAAAGCGCAAAGTTACGCACTACTTCCGAGCTGAGATTTAAAGTTTGCCTGTGCTAAAAAATTATGGTGATTTATCTGTCAGCTGATTTCTTTGAGAATGACGAACCTCCAGTAAATTGAAAATACTAACTGTTAGTTATTCTCTCTATAGATGATTTACTTCGAATATGAATTTTGTCGTAACATAGATTTTCTTGGTATATTGCTTCTACCACGTTTTTTATATTGAATTAGTAGAGATCGGTTACGAGGAGCGCGAAACCGCGCTCATATTTCCTACTCTTTACGATCTAAAAAATCCCAGGAAAGAATCTATACAAGCTTAAACATGAATTATATGGACTTTTTTGAGCATGTTTAATTAATCAAAGAGAAGGTTGGCATGAGAGGCATAAGTGAAAATTAAAAAAAGGTGTCATCGATATTTCGGTAATCGAATATTGGCTTAAAATCAAGAGGACAATAATTGGCCAGTCGAACAACTTCGTGATGTCTACGGTAATTATTGCAAAAGAAGCACAAAGAGATCCGTGCCCAAACTATAAATTTGTTTGTAGAACTTGCAAGGAAATACGAATAACGGGTTTAAACTGCTAATTGAAGAATAGAAGTAAAATGATTTTGGTTCAAACCAATTATATGGACAGTTACAGGGGTTTGGAAGGAGAAGGGAAACGCCTGACATTTTGATATCGTACTTTTTGAACATATAATAAACAATGAAAAGGTAACATATTTCTATGTTTTTTTTGTTTATTGTTTCTGCTAATTGGTATTTTATGCTTGCACAGATATTTATAGTAAATTTTTGTGTCTACAACATAACCGCTCAATGACAAAAATCTCTGACTTTCAAAAAAACCAAATGGTTGGTGCCCATATATGACCGGTGCAATTGTGCAGAAACTTCCCAAATGCTTGAAGTTTCTAGAAGTACCTACTGTCTTAAAGTAAAGACTAATTTTGAAAAAGAAAGAAAAACGTCCCGCCAAAAAAAAAAAACAGGTCTGGCCGAAAGTCGAAGTTGTCAGAGAGAGACCGTCGGTACCTAAGTCGAATTGTGATGAACAATCGAAAGACCACGACTGTTAAGCACAGACACCAGTTTCCACGCAGACTCCGTCGAGAGCTGCACAGATTTAGAATCAACAGCCGTGACTACTTGAGACATTTGGGAGGACCAAGTTCATCCAATGTTTCAAGAACTGTTTCCGGAAGGGAACGCCATATTCCAAGATGATAATGCCCCGATCCATACAGCTGGAATTATTTAAATATTGCTCGAAAAACATTCTAATGAAATTCAGCGTCGCATTCGGCCAACAGTACAGTAAAGGAAGTGGCAGGTGGAGGGATGAGGCTCGGTAGTACAGTAAAGGAAGTAACAGTTGTACAGCAAGGCAGCAGTTGTACAGCAAGGCAGCAGTTGTACAGCAAGGCAGCAGTTGTACAGCAAGGCAGCAGTTGTGGCGCAGGGGGTGTGGGGGGAGGTTTACTCCCTCAATAAAATGACTTGAGAATCACTTAACAAATCCCTTCTGAATACCCATTACATTATTACATTTATTGTTTTGTCTGGAAATATTAGAGCACATGTCCATTACATATAAGCAGCACATATCCATTACATATTAGAGAACATATCCATTAAAAGGTAAATGGTCTCATGGTTCCACATGTACCTAGAAAATAGAACTGCAAGAAATACCTATTCTGATATGTCACAGCATTCGTCAGAAGCCAAACACTTCAATCAATTTCCGATCATTTCTTGATTGATGAAACATGGAGAAGAAATACGACCAATTATATATGGTAACTTCGATACAGGCGATGAAGAGGTCACTAGTGACCACTAGTGACCTCTGGTGGCACTAGTGACCACAGGTGGCACTAGTGACCTCTGGTGGCACTAGTGACCACTGGTGGCACTAGTGACCTCTGATGGCACTAGTGACCACTGGTGGCACTAGTGACCTCTGGTGGCACTAGTGACCTCTGGTGTCACTAGTGACCACTGGTGGCACTAGTGACCACTGATAGCACTAGTGACCTCTGGTGACTCTAGTGACCACTGGTGGCACTAGTGACCACTAGAAGCACTAGTGACCATTAAAGGCACTAGTGACCACTAGAGGCACTAGTGACCACTAGAGGCACTAGTGACCACTAAAGGCACTAATGACCACTAGAGGCACTAGTGACCCTAGAGGCAGTCGTGACCACTCGAGGCAATCGTGACCACTAGAGGCACTACTGACCACTAGAGGCACTAGTGACCACTAGAGACACTAGTGACCATTAGAGGCACTAGTGACCACTAGAGACACTACTGGCCACTAGAGGCAGTCGTGACCACTAGAGGCACTAGTGACCACTAGAGACACTACTGACCACTAGAGACACTACTGACCACTAGAGGCACTACTGACCACTAGAGGAACTAGTGACCACTAGAGGCAGTCATGATCACTAGAGGCAGTCGTAACCACTAGAGGCAGTCGTGACCACTAGAGGCAGTCGTGGCCACTAGAGGCACTACTGACCACTAGAGGCACTACTGACCACTAGAGGCACTACTGATCACTAGAGGCAATCGTGACCACTAGAGGCAGTCTTGACCACTAGAGGCAGTCGTGGGCACCAGAGGCACTACTGACCACTAGGGGCAGTCGTGACCAGTAGAGGCAGTCGTGACCACTAGAGGCAGTCGTGACCACTAGAGGCAGTCGTGTCCACTAGAGGCAGTCGTGACCACTAGAGGCAGTCGTGACCACAAGAGGCAGTCGTGGCCACTAGAGGCACTACTGACCACTAGAGGCAGTCGTGACCACTAGAGGCACTAGTGACCACTAGAGGCAGTCGTGACCACTAGAAGCAGTCGTGACCACTAGAGGCAGTCGTGACCACTAGAGGCTGTCGTGGCCACTAGAGGCAGTCGTGACCATTAGAGGCAGTCGTGACCACTAGAGGCAGATCTGAGACGGCATCTGTGACAGTCTCCATATATCAAGTGATACACTAATTTTGTACCACAGCAACGCTCTCAGTGTAGCTCTAACGTAAGCTAGGCTCAAGTTAAGTGCCGGTAGCTTGTAACTCTTTGAACTTAAACAACGGTCAATTACATAAAATTTCCTCGCAACATTTCAAGAACAAGAGAAATTTTTCAGTCCATACTCGTCCAATCTATACAAATCTGCACATGTTGATAGTGTTGTTATCTAAGTTTCATAGTAAAAATATTTTAATTCGTTGCCTACGTCGCATAAATAAAATTATTATTGCCCTAGGACCTATTCCCATACATTTATCTTATTTTTACCCTGATGTGTA